ATCTATCTATCTATCTATCTATCATTTAATTATCTCTAAAATCTATCTATCTTTCTAATATCTATCATATTTACCTGTCTATCATCTATCTAATATATCTATCATATCTATCTATCTATCATATCTATCTATCATCTATCATTTAATTATCATCTCTAACATCTATCTAATATCTATCATATCTACCTGTCTATCATCTACCTAATATATATCTATCATATCTATCTATCTATCTATCTATCTATCTATCTATCTATCTATCTATCATTTAATTACCATCTCTAACATCTATATATCTTTCTATCATATCTACCTGTCTATCATCTATCTAATATATATCTATCATCTCTCTCTCTCTCTCTCTCTCTCTCTCTCTATATATATATATATATATATATATCTCATCTATCAAAAATCTATCTACTGTATATCATCTATTTAATATCTATCATCTATCATCTAATAATCTCTCATCTCTAACATCTATATTATCTATCATTATCTTTCTATCATCTATGTCTCGGTCTGTATCATCTATCTAACATCTATATCTATTTAATATCTATCTACCACCTGTCTGTTTGTCTGTCTGTATTATCCATCCGTCCATCCATCCATCCATCCATCCATCCATCCATCCATCCATCCATCCTTCTATGTATCTCTAATCTATCAAATTTATAGGCTGCCCGCCTTACTCCCAGGTAATTCTGCTGCGTGATCTTTCTTCTCACCTCTTTCTCTTCCCTTCCAGGTTTATCCGGCGAAGAGCTACCCAGAGGTGATGGCGCCATACGCTGCTCTCCCCTCGCACCCCAACATTGCCCGGGTGGCCGAGGTCATCGTGGGAGATCAGAATGTCTACGTCTTTTTTGAGTCCGGGAAGGACAACATGCACGACCTGGTGAGGCGGTGCAAGCGTGTGCCGGAGTCTGAGGCAGTTGCTCTTTTCCGACAAATGGCCGAAGCCATCGCTCACTGTCACCAGCACGGCATCGTCCTCCGAGACATCAAACTGAAGAAGTTTGTCTTCACAGATCGAGAACGGTGAGAATTGAAAAGACCAGCTGCTCTCAAAAAGCGTATAGATCCATGATGGCGAACCTATGGCACACGTGCAGGCATGCGAGCCCCAGCTAAACTTACCTGCACTGCACAGGCGCATGCCACCCAGCTGATTTTAGGCCCGTTTGAGGCCTTTTTCGCCTTCCGAGAGTCTGGAGGGAAGCCTCTGTAGCCTTTGGAGGCCGAAAAACAGGCCCGTTTTGGCACTTGAGGTATTTCCGGGAGGGCCATTTTTCAGCATCCGGAGGGCCTCTGGAGCCCGGGGGAGGCAGCTTTCGGCCTCCCGGAGGCTTGAGGGAAGCCTCTGCAGCCTTTGGAGGCCGAAAAACAGGCCCATTTTGGCACTTCCGGTATTTCTGGAAGGCCCATTTTTCAGCCTCCTGAGGCTGCAGCGGCTTCCCTTAAGCCCCTGGAAGGTTGAAAAAGGCCTCAAATGGGCCAAAAATCAGCTGGGAGGCACACACGTGTGCAGTGCAGGTAAGCGGGCAAGGGGTTGTTGTGCGCGCATGCACGGGGGTGGGTGGGGCGCATTGCCTTCTGGGTGCTGGCATGTGAGTGCGCATGCACACAGTTTTCTGCATGGGAGCCCAACAAGGTTAGCCACCACTGGTATAGATACATAACACACACGTACACACGCTACACACAGGCATACACACACACACACACACACACACACACACACACACATATTTGCATACAGAAGAACTAGATCTACAGAGGATGCTACAGCCATCACTCTTCACACTGCTCTGACTCATCTAGAACAGCGGGAGGGCTATGTGAGGATGCCTTTTGTGGATTTTAGTTCTGCATTTAACACAATTCTTCCACCTTGACTACTAGTGTCTAAACTTCTGGACCTTGTACTTTCTAATTCAGTCTGCCTTTGGATTATGGATTTCCTGTCTGGCCGCTCACAGAGGGTCAGATTAGGTAATCATACCACTTCAGGCCTTATTCTTAACACTGGTACACCACAGGGTTGTGTGTTGAGTCCCTTACTCTATACTCTTCGTGTGCATGACTGCATTCCCACTCACGTTAGTAATACTATTGCTAAATTTGCAGATGGTACACAACAGTGGTGGGACTCATTTCCAAGGGGGATGAGTCTGCCTACCGAGATGAAGTGGACCAGTTGCTTTCGTGGGGTGGAGACCATAACTTGGTCCTCAACACCAATAAGACCAAGGAGCTTATAGTGGGCTATAGAAGGAACAGATCAGACCTCCAGTCCTTGCTTATCCATGGAGACCGAGGGGAGCAAGTGGCCAGGTTTAAGTTTCTGGGGGTTACCCTAAAAGAGGACCTGACCTGGGGGGCTCCCATTGCAGCCCTGGTCAAAAGAACCCAGCAGAGATTATACTACCTGAGGCTTCTCAGGAAACAACAAGTGAATGGAAAACTGCTGGTGACCTTCTACTGCTGCACCAGAGAGAGTATCTTAACTTCTTGTACACCTGTGTAGGGTTTGCCAGTTGCACAGTGGCAGATAGGACAGCACTCCAGAGGGTCAACATCATTGCCCAGAGGATCATGGGTTGCCCTCTCCCCTCTTTGGAAGAGCTTCATAGCTCCCGCTGCCTTAAGAAAGTTGTTCAAAAGACTCTATATTAACAGCAGCTAGAATAATATATGCTCAAAATTGGAAATTAGATAGTAGTCCCACAGATGATATGATTTATAAAGAAAGTAATGGATTGTGTAGAAATGAACAAACTTACCATGGAATTGCAGGAGAGGGAAGGAAAAGAATATTATACGGTCTGGGGAAAATGGTATGTCAGGTTAGATCAGGGGTGTCCAACCTTGGCAACTTTAAGACTTGTGGACTTCAACTCCCAGAATTCCTCAGCCAGCTTTGAAGTCCACAAGTCTTAAAGTTGCCAAGGTTGGACACCCCTGGGTTAGATAATAGAAAGAAAAGATAACGTAAATGTAAAAGTATAATTGTAAATAATGTATGTATGTATGTATGTATGTATGTTTATATGTATATTTATATACATACAGGAAAATGGAATAACCAATGCCACAAATAACTGCAAAAAATGTATATAGGATTTGTTTTTAAAGGTGAAAATCTAATAACATTTATTTAAAAGAAAGAAAGTAAAAGTTCAAAACACTCTCAAAGATCCATCTCATTCTGGGCCCCCCTTTTTTTAAAACTATTACCATCTGGCATACGGTGCAGGATGATAATAAAACAAGGACAAATAGCCTGAAAAAACAGCTTCTATCCCAGGCCAGTAACTCTATCGAATTCTACTGTATAATGCAATATTCATGCAATATCAGGGAGTTTGCAATTCAATTGCACAGAACGCAAAGGACGCATGTTTGTGTTTATTTTCGTCATAATGTACACCCAAGATGGTATTTTAATTTCGTGGTACGTGGTCCAAGGACAATAAAGTAAACCATAACTATACCTTTGGTTTCTCCAGGTCCAAGTTGCTGCTGGAGAACCTGGAAGACGCCCAGGTCCTAATGGGTTCCGATGATGCCTTGATGGACAAGCACGGCTGCCCAGCTTACGTGGGTCCCGAAATCCTGAGCTGCAAGGGCTCCTACTCTGGAAAGGCCGCTGATATCTGGAGCCTAGGGGTAGCTCTCTACACTCTGCTGGTGGGCTGCTACCCCTTCCAGGGCACCAAGCCCGTCTTGTTGTTTGGCAAGATCTGTCGCGGACGTTTTACAGTCCCGGGTGACCTCTCGCCCAAGGCCCAGTGCCTTATCCGGTGCCTCTTGAGGAGGGATCCGGCCGAAAGGCTGACCGCCAGTGAGATCCTGCTCCATCCTTGGCTGGCTTCGAACCCAGTCCCCAAAGCGTTGGGGGTCAGCCCCCTTGGAGGGCAAGGACTGGAGCAAGTGGTTCCCGAAATGGGGAGCTGCAGAAAGAATTCGGATAAATTGCAGGAAGTGGAGACATGAAATGGCCTTGAGGGGAAGAAGGCAGTGGGGCCATTGGAGGCCGTATCTCTCAGCCACCTCGGAAGTGCCTTTTGCGGGGACGGAGTACCTTTCGCCTTTGCCCTTTTGTGGGGCAGGGGTCCCAGAACATGGGGAGAGACCCCCGTCGCCCTTTGCGTTCTCACCTATGCCAAAGAAACCTAGGGGAGTTTTGTTAAGCACCAGCAAGCTCTTAAAGAAGGCAGTTTTTGCACCTTTAGTTTGGGATCTGTATTGTTGATCTGGGACAAGGAACACACTGGAATGATTGATGGGAGAAAGTGATGTAGCATGGATGATGTTCCGTAGTTTGGTAATGAGATGTCTGCAAGTAAAGAGCTAAGCTCAGAGAGCACAAAGGACCCCGAAATAAT